CACGATGCATATGAAAGGGTCATTATTCATGTACACAGCATAGGTACGTAGTATGTACACAGCATAGGTACGTACCACTATGATTAAATGTACCAACGTCATTTCCTTTCAGTGGTGCATTTTCGAGAATTAAATGTACCACTATCATAGTTAAGTAGAATATTCAAGGTTCCCCCTACTCGTAATAACTTCAGAGCTAATACATGCATTAAACAGTCAAGGTTCAAGGCATAATCGAACATAGTGAAGGCATAGTCGAACATAGTGAAGGCATAACCAAACATAGTCTTAGGCATACAGAAAAATAGTTTTAGGGAAAGGCTAATGAAACTACAGTACTAATTAAACAAAGACACAGAGCATTGAAGAGTATTTGGTCCCTAGCATCTTCATCATAGGTCTTTTCCAAATCCTCAGTGGTGGTTGGAGCCATCGAAAGCTAAACCAGAATTGAAGTAGTAACTACCTGGCTCTGCCTCCTCGTCTGAGCTGAACGGGTCATGGTTCAATTCAACTTTTTGCGGAGGCCATGATGGTGTACGTGGTGGTGGAACCTGTAATTGCAAACAACATTTAGTTAGCTAAATAACTTACATTCCAAACAATATTATAAAACAAACAAATTACCTGGAAAACAGCATCAACAAGCAACCCATTTGGCTCACTCAATCTAGAAATTGGCCCTTAGCATATTTGGTTTCCAAAACATCATAACTCCACTAGGCCTTGACTCCGAGCCACATATTTTTGCTTCATATTCACCTGGGAGGTTACGAAAAACACAATTGTTCGCCTCATGTTTACCAATACGAGCTTCCAAAATGATGACCAACATGGGGTTAAATTTTTCGTGTAGGGCTGCGAAGTGCTATGTAAAGGAGGGCCTTGTGCACCCTCGGGCGTTCCAAAATAGAATGAGTGACCCCCGATCGACTACGCCATACTCTTCGGTTGAGGATATATGCTCTCCTTTATAGCTAACATGGTGGTACCGTTTACGAATGGGCCAGCGATGGTTAAGCCTGAGATTAAAGGTACAACCTTCAACTTGGAACCTCAGGTGGGTGTTAGTAGTATCGACCGTCATGAGGTGGAGGGTATCCGTGAAAGAGCCAACAAATATGTGGCGCCAAAGCGTGGGGAAACTGTAACCAACTATGGAGTCGGTGTTAAGATTGGGCTTCAAGTCAATTGCTTCCTCTATCTCAGGTGGTACTGTAAGAGGGGACGACAAGGAATTGAACCCCTCTATGAGCCAATACAGCATGACACAAGCTCCCTCGTCGTAGCAACCCACCAAGTCCTCTAAAAGAGGAAGGTGTCCCGAAATCGGCATGTCATCTTGTAACAGCATGCAATCAGTTTGGCAGCACATTGATTGGAGGAGATGTGCTCTAATGGATTGCACAGGCTGGTATATCCCATTATAAAAGTTATAGGTGTTCCTAAAATACTTTACTAAATTCAGGTTTATTTCGGACACCCCCCTCAGGTATTTTTGAAAGTACAATATTGGTTGATGTGGGTGGGGTAACAATTAGTGACCTGAGCTACAGTGTTTGACAATGGAGGTTCCAGCCATTTTAGTAGCTTGTAACCGGGGAAGGGGATGGAGATGAGATGAAATGAGAAATGGAAGGCAATGGATGCAGAGTATGGATGGAAACTTAATTTTGTTGTGATGAAATCCTTTCAAATTTTTTTAAACTGCTGCATGAGTTCCCCAAGGTATTGTCTTGTCAAATGAAGCACAAAGTCTAGGAAATAGTACAAGATAGTCACTGGGTGGTACATTTGACTTTTGTATTCGATGGAACTAAATGTACCATTGTACGTATTGTTAAAATTTTTACCTTCAGTTACGGTGGTGAATGTTGGAATGTTCACCCTGTTGCAGGCTACGTGGCCTAGGTCCAGTACTATGGCACAGAGCTGTCGTTTCAAAATAAACACACATTCATTCCAGTGGAACAATTTATAGTCACAAACATATAGGCACACTTAATGTAAAGATGTAATGGTATAGTTTTTGTGCCACTGGACGTAACAAAACTAACACAAAGGAGTTTGCATGAAAAAAATTAGTAATACTATTGCTACATTTTGCATATGAATACGCATATAAAAATTAAAAAGTTGTACACAATCTGCAAAACTAACTCTTAGTAAGAACTAGTGCATTTCGTAGATTATATGAAGGGTGACTCTTAGTAGGAGTTGGTGATGATGTGGCAATGGATAGAGATTAAGAACCCCATTTTAAGATGCTTCTCACTATTCATGGATAATGCTCTAACGTAAACTTAACTTACAAGGACAAACATAAAATGACACAAAGTTGTCTTAAAATAAGTCTAAACAGCTGGCAGTGGTACACTAATCGTTTACGAAATGTACTGTTATGATCTTACATATTCAAATGACGGGTGACGAAAATGGCAGTTCCCCAGATTATGCGTTCCCCAAGGAGTTGTCTTGTCAAAAGAAGCACAAAGTCTGGTTAATGGTACAAGTTAATCATTGGTGGTACATTTGATTGTGTATTCGGTTTAGTTAAATGTACCATTGTATGTATTGTTTTAATTTTTACCTTCAGTTACGGTGGTGAATGTTTAGTCTGTTGCAGGCTACGTGGCATAGGTCCAGTAATATGGGACAGAGCTGTCGTTTCAAAAGAAACACACATTCATTCCAGTGGAACAATTTATAGCCACAAACATACATGCACATTTAATGTAAATATGTAATGGTACACTTTCTGTACCACTGGACGTAACGGAACCTACACAAAGTAGTTGGGAGTGAACTTAACGCATGTTGATAGTTGCGAGAATAAGAAGGGGGGCGAGTATTAGTTCATGGCTGGTTTCCTTTCCTTGGAGTAAAAGAAGTTGCCAAAAAAAAATGGGTGGCCAAAGAAGTAAGAGAGTGTTGGTTGACAAGGGAGTGGTTGGTGATAAGAGCCCAAGGCGCCTTATGAAGCGGTTGGAATTCATGAAAAAAAATGGATATCACGACGTAAATGGTGTTGTTCGGGACTTGTACCTCCCCAAAAGAGGTAAAGAAATGATGTTTGCTCACCAGTCAGCCACAATTGCTCGTGGAGGGCTTGAAAATCCCATCATTGGTATAGATTTCCATCCGGAGTACCCTTTCCTAACTCCTTTTAAACTAGGAGGTCCCGGGTAATTTCGGATGGAAGCATTCTGTTTCATGCACTACGTTGTTGATGCTTACAAGATCGCTGTAAGTGTGAATCTTCGTGAGTTCCTGGAAAACATCATCTACTGGATGCGATATCCATACTATTGTAGACACTTGATAAAATTTTGGGAGCTTTTCCTCCCTATGTGTGATTGGCATCAAAATGTTGAGTGCATGCTCAATAACCACTGTGAGGAAGGTGATAAATTTGGTCTTCTACTACTTGGTCACGATTTCACGTTGGACTACGACAAAGATTTGATTCACGTCACGGTAGAGTGGCTGAATTTCTCTCTAGAGGATCCTTTTGACATGATCCATACGAGCGAAGAACAATCCATGTATTTTAGAAGCAAGATGTTAGCTGAAAACGGGTACGATGAGATGCAACACTTAGATCTTATCACCAGGGGGCCATTTCAGTACGACGACTACCCATCTTGGTATGTGCGTCGTTTGACTGAGGCGAAGGATAGGTTCGAGAACAAGTCCAATCCTGATTCTGGTGACTTTTGGGATGGTTATGAGCATATGGTGACCCATATGGGGATCCGTGGGAAGGGAACCATGATTTTGTGTTCGACTAGTTACATAGTGTTGTGTTGCATTTTCTATGTTAGTTGCATGTACGCATTACCTTCATTAGTCTTAGTATGTATTATGTACCACTGGCCAGTGAAATGGTATCATTATGTACCATTCTCGTTACCACGGTACGTCTTACTATGTTTTATGTACCACTGGCCTGTTTAATGGTACTTGGTTATGTTTCTTGTCATCAAAAACTACATGGGTGTTCTTTTCAGGAGTCATCGTCTAATGTACCACTATTGTATTAGGTGGTACATTCACAGCACTAAATCCTGTTATGAGTTGCCTATAATTTTGTTCACATTGGTTGAGAGACTTTTGTGTTTGGTACCAGTGCAAATGTGCTGTTTTGACGTGAAATTGAACTAGTCGATGATAGATCTGCATATGGAGTTTTAGCATCCAGAAGCGCAAACAATGTTTTGATAACTATTAATGAACTACGCTACTACTAACTACAGTTGAACGAAAACGGCTATTACAATTTAAAATAAACGAAAAGAGCAATTACAATAATAATTAGCCCAAATTTTATGATCTTTATGTGTTGGTGCTCTAACACCTCTACCCGTCGAACAACACCGCCAATGTGGGTTGGTGGACCATCCCTAATGAGGTCCGACTGAACAGCCCACTCCCAGTACCCGCAGTGGCGACATTTGTAGTACGGCCGCTTCGGATTCTTTTCCGACATTTGTAGATTATATGCCACAGCCGCAAATATTTTGCAAACTAAAACTACAACACGAGAAGAACTTATCTGCAGGGGCTGGTCTTTATGACGAGGATGCTGAAAATACAATATCTTGTTTAACTTGTAAATGCGTTAGGGAAATAAGCGTACTTTATACAATAGTACATGGTCTACTGATCCAACCTGTATGATAAATATGATCTGTATAATGAGTTAATGACATTTCTTTTTTTAACTTGCAGATTATCATTTGTTAAATTTGTGTTTCTGTTGTGTATAATAATATGTTTTACAGTTCTGAATAACACACACAAACACAGTAGTTTACAATATTAGCTACTTCATAATCAAACAAACCTATATTCATGTAACCACCTCTATTTTCAACACATGAAGATAATTGCCCAATGGTACAGTTCATGCACAATAAGTGTACCACTACAACATGTTTAAACAACAAGTACATTCCAATGCATTAATCAACCAGTTGAATTGATTACATTACAAGTGGTTAGAACCTGATGTACCAGGAGTACCTAGTACACTTGCAAAAAAAACCACCAGAATTTGTTCCCCTTACAGAAGTGAAGTACCCTAAGGAACCATCCAAATCCCTCATTTGAATCCCTCCAACCGATCGTACATAGTCGTTTGTTGAGAATGACATACTGTTATGTGCCGCCGCAACTTGCTTCTTTGCTGCATTTTTCAACCTAGCAGTCTTTTCTTTTCCCTTTTTCTCTGTGCAAGATGGATACCTCACGTTGGTTGTACGATGGGCCTTCTTCTTGGGCAGCGGTGGATCCTTAATCACTGCCGGGATAGATCCATCACAACTCCCCACAAAGGCACTAATTGGTGTAGGTATTGTATTTGGCAACCCAGATGCATGTGTGGCTGGTGTATTTGTACAACCAGGCCCCTTGTTTAAAGCCACAGAAGAAGGCGTTCGAACAACATAATGTACGCCATCATCCTCACCTTCGTTTTCATTATCCTTAGCCGACTCTTCCTGTTTTTTGGCAACCATTGCCAACATTTCATCGACTCTGAGGTCCATCAATTGCAACAACTCTGCCACAGCCTCAACACCCTCCTTACAAGCCGAAGCCTTTGAGCGAATTGGTTCATACATCCTCATCAATTTGTGATATTGCCTGGCTTCATCGGTTTTAAGTGGATCATGGTAAGCTACTTTCACTCGTGTGTGTTTCCTTTGAATATCCTTCCTCCAACGACGTAGAATATACTTCTCAGGAACAATGGAAACACCGCAATGGTCATACACGAAGATCATATGTCGACAAATGATTCCATGGCACTCAAAGTGTTTACAGTCACAACTGGCTTCATATGTATTACTGTCATAGCACACCCTATAGCATCTCCGAACCTTAGTCACAGATTCTTTATTTGCATATTTTGGCTTGATCCACACTCGGTCCTCAATAACAAACTCAACTTGATTCTCATCAACTTCATAGTCATCTAGGCGACGCACGTACAACATCCTCTTGCACTCCCGCTGAACTTCTTTGAATTTGGCGTCCGTGTAACACTTCCGGAATACTTCCTCCGCTGGGAAATCGGTAGCTAAATGCCTGACGTACCGTATTGTGTTGGAGTCCTCAATTCTTTCTGACTCGGACCTTATCTGCATTGCATCGCAGTATCGAAGCACAAATTCAGACTACGTTGTATGCTTATCAACATAACCTTTGAAAAAGTGATTGAAACTTTCCGATCGTTAGGTCATTTTCATCCCGGCCTAGAATAAATGCTTCAAATACGCTGGGATCCACATGTGCCTTTCCTCATACAGCCCTACATTTCAAAAAATTGCAAAACTGGCTTATCTAAAACCAAACAAACCTCATACACCTGGATTCCTATGAGTGGTACATTCACTGTCTCCGAAATGTGCCACAAATAAGAAAATTGGAAAAAAAATAACATTTAGTGGTACAAGAGTCTACCACTAAACCTGCTCATACTCTAAGTCAGAACTGAAACAGCTTCCAATCCCCTGCACATAGCCAGCTACACCACCTCTGCATACTCTAACAAAAATCACTAACAATCACAAAAAAAAAAAAAAAAAAAGAACATATGGACGTGTAGTACCTTCAAGCCAACTATTATCTCCTAGTTTGTAATAATCAGTTGCGCCCGCCCAACGATCTACAAATTCAACAGCATCTAAACTACCATAAATGATATTTTCAAACTCATCCTTTACAGCTTCATAGTCCTCATGCTTACCAACATACCTCGAAAACTTCTGAAGTATGTGCCATATACACCACCTATGGCAAATCTCAGGCATAATCAAGTTTACAACTTTCCTAATCGCCGGATCTTGATCCGTTAGGATTGAGATAGGAGCTTTACCCCCCATGCAATGTAGCCAAGTCCTCAACACCCACTCGTACGTCTCCGGCATCTCCCAAGAGATCAATGCACACCCAAAAAAAATACTCTGCCCATGATGGTTCACACCGATAAACACAGCAAAGGGAAGGTGAAATTTGTTTATCAAATACGTATTGTCAAAACACACAACATCTCCAAACTCCTCATACGCAGCTCTACTCCTCGCGTCTACCCACACAATATCTTGTAATGCGTCGTCCTTCCCAAACCGACATAGATGGAAAAAATTCTGATTGTCGCCACTCATTTTGTTGAAGTATTCTATCATGCCATTTGCATCGCCCTCAGTAAGCTCAAGTCTGGTTTTCTAAGCCACTGCATTCTCCAAGTCTCTTTGCGTAAATGTCATCTCCTCTACTCCATTACGCTCCCGCGCATAACAACTGTACATTTGGGATACCTTCACCTTAGACTTCTTCGCCGTATGCACCTGCTTGACCAAGTGATTGTTTTTCACCATTAACTCGTGCTTCCGGTACATCGCTACATCCTTTGACTTTCCCGGAGTAACAATGTGACCTTTGTGCTCCAAATTCAACCTTCGAACAACCCAGTTCCCTTCCTAATTAACACTGGCATACAACTCCACAGGACAACTGCATTTTTAAGTCTTCCGTTTCTGAACTGTCTCCTCATCTTGCAACAACCCTTCCTTTAGTGCATCCTGTTTACGCTTCCTTGAAGCATAACCATAATAGTCACAAGTCCACTTAGCATTCCTTCTCTCCTTACAACACTTTCCCTTTTCCAATTCCTTCTTCACATCCACCCACCCAGAAGCAGCCCTCACTATACCAAAACCCTTTTGTCTAGCATAACTCTAGAAATAGGTATCCAACTCATCCCAACCCCCAAATACCATGCCCAAAGTTGGGGGTGGTACTTCCTCTTCCACACCACACACAGTGTTCACCATTACTGTGTTCTTCTTTGGGGTTATGAATGAGGAACCTTCTGCACCAGCCCCATCAAACTCCCCTTCAACACCAGGCTCATCTTCATCTTCCTGATAATCTGCCCCCTTATCCTCAACCTCAAACCCTTCCCCCTCTTCATCCTCCTGCACCTCTCCTTCTCTTAATCCATCATCACTCACTAATCCCACACTCTCCAATCCCTCCTTATAAACAGATACATCATCCTCCCCACCATCTTCATATCCATCACCAACATCCACCTAATTCACATACAGAACCATGACTCATTGAAAATAAAACATTACAACAAATAACCAATAACCAAAAACATACACAAAGACACCAAACCCAACAAACTATATGATCACATAATTCATAACATTTTTTTTTAATTTTTCACACAAACAGGATCGACAGTAACTCATACAATTAGCAGCAACTCATCCTTCTCTCCATTCCCATTCTAAAACCAACACATTCCCATAAAATTATAATACATTAAACAAATTTCTTCAACTCAACTACAACACCCATTTTACCAAATAACAATGAACAATCAGCATTCATATCAAAGATTTTGACAATTTAACATTACCAATTACCCATTTACTTACTCAATTACATGGATTGAAGTTCATATCAAATTTACAACAAAGGGTCCTAACCAATTCAAATACTTTCCTCATTTACAATATGCCAACTTATTTAAGCACTACCACAATCACTATCAACAACTACTATAAATTGAAACGATACCAATAATTGAAATACACCAAAAAAACCTAACTTTTCAGCTAATTCAATTTTGTTTACTCCCCTAATTCATGCATTACTAATGTTAACTCAAACAAATACCTCATACACAACAAAACGACTTACACAGAGGTTTCGAACACTTACATTCTCACTACCAAAACGCAACTCCCTTGTGCAACCATGGCCTTCTTCACCACCTTCACGCAATGCTTCCTCTAAATCAACTCCCAATATATCAGCTAACCGATTTCGCTTTGTCAAAATGTAGTTCGAATTCACAAATTAACTCAATTTTTGGCTTTAATTTAGCTATAAGAATTGTGCATTTGGTGTTCATGGGCGAAACACTCATCGCCATGGAAGCCAACCTTAAAAATTTATTTATTTTTTTAATAAACTTTTTGCAAAAAGTTGCTTTTGTGGGATGTGGGTACTTTTTGGTTTCCCGCTTCAAATTTCAGTCCCCCGTTATTTTTCTCTCGGCTCCGTTGCATTTCAACCCCACTTGCCACTTTCAGGGCCCACCAACCTTTCATAAAGTTGCACTTAGTAACAACTTTGTCATCCTATACATTAGCAAACCCATCGGCGTTATACGCCAATAGTTATCCAGTTTCTTATATACAACTTAGATAGTTCTTTTATTTACAAAAAGTGTCATTACTTAAACCGGGTAGAGTTTGGAGCGTTGGATCTAATTAGATCCAATGGCTGTAAGTTGTTCTCACATAATCCTATTTATATATATATAATATCAACCATCAGACTGAAACAAATTGGACGGTTGTGATTAAATCTGGAAATTAAATTTATTGAACCAAAAAAACAAAAAAACTTTCGTTTCTCTCTCCTCTTTCTCACTGATAATTTCTTCTTTGTCAAACATTTTTCAGGTTTCCTCACCTCAATCATCTACTCAAAAGTCAGGAATTTGCTACAATCTACACCATTCTTCAACAATATTCTAAATTTGTTGCAAAATTTCTTAATTAAAGAGGTAGGCATTGTAAATTTGGTGTATTTCGATTTTTAGGGTTTAATTTTTTTTTTCTTACGATAATCGGATCTTATATCCTATCAATTTAGAGCATACATTTACAACTTCGTCAATAATTTGCTGTGTTTCTGATTCGTTAGGATCATATATCCTATCGATTCTGATAATTTTGGCGAATTCACTTATATTCAATTCCTGAAATTTGGTATTTGTTTTTAGCTATTTTTTTTTAAAAAAAAAAAAGAAAAAAAAAAGTGTTTTTAGCTCGTCTCTTCAGCAGCAGCACTAATGGCGGAGAAAGGTGCAAAAGGGTTTTCTCTTGGCAAAGGAGCAGGTTATTCCTCTTTATTCACTCCCTCTGTGTCTTTCCTATATAATTTTCTCTTCTTATAAATTTGACGATTCCAATTTAGGGTTTCTCATTTCTTTGAATTAGGATTCAATTTTTCAACTTTTTTCCCCTAAATGGGAAATAAATGCAAAATTGCCGTTAATTTTAAGCAATTCTTTATGCTGCAGATTTTCGGAATTCAGAACCGTCAAAATATTTGCTATGATTTATATGAAAATGCCAACTTTATTTAGGGTTATAATTTTTCATCAGTGTAATTTGTATTTCTAATTTAATTTGGGATGTTTGTTTCCAAAGTATACCATCAGTGATAGCTGGGATTAGGGAAGTTGAGGCAACTTAGTGATTGGAACTTAAATTTTATATCTTTGTTTTGTTGGAGTACAAATTTGAGTGATTGGGTTTTATTAATCTGAAATAATGGGTATGGTTTGATTTGTAACTTGATAGAAGTAGGATAAAATGAATTGACACATGTAGGCTGATTGCCTTCATACCATAAGAGTCTCGGCATGTAAAGGCATGTAGTAATCTAAGATGATAGATGATATATGTATAGCACTACAAGCACGCCGTGAAGTACAGCTTTTGTTGAATGATAGATGTATATATTTTCATGCAACAACCTAATGTAGCGATGATCATGCCTACATTGCAACATGTCAATTTGATTTGTCTCAAACTTTTACCCCTTTTAGCTCGAGAGCCTACAGCAAGATTAATGGTTGTGCTTGTGCCCACCTCTATGGCTCTACCAAGGCCCATGCACACTGAGATCACTGATCATAGTATGCATATGTGTGTTATGCCTTTAAGTTGCATGTTAGATTGTTTCGTGCTCGTAATATAATGTTATGCATATTTTAAATTTAATTCATACCAAAACATTTTGTGGATTCTATTCCATGTTGTGGATAGAAAAGATGCCATTAACATGTTCTTTCTTGCAGTGCCCTTAAAAGGAAAGGATGATGACTCCACGAAATTAAAGAAGGGAAGGAAAGTGCAGTTCGAAGATGAAGGTACTATCCTCTTCTCCTGCTAATCTACACTATGAATAATTTCCTTACTTTCAACCTCAATGTCAGGTCTTTTTAGGTTCTGTTGTCGACTTATGATGATATGTGTACCTTCTGTAGCCATCTGCTTTTATATGTTAGTAGTCATAGTTTATCCTTTATAGCATTAGCTGGTTATGTTAAAGAGTGTTTGAATCTTTTTGCCTTGTGTGTAATGTGGTTCTTTCTTGATAGATGGAAATATCTGAGACTCTGAGTCATCTTCTATTTTTGGCTTTTATTTTTCTTTGATGAAGCTGATACTGCCTAATTGTTGTATTAAGTGTTATATGTGCATGCTTAGTAGTAAGTTTATTTGTTGAACATTTTTTGTAATTACTTGTTTTTTTGGTGGCAACTTCTTGGCATTATCAAGAGTCCCCTGCAAACTTTTCGTCAAAATCTGGTGGAAAGGGTGAACCTTTGAAAGGAGGGAAGGGCTCTGCTCGAAAAGAACCGGCTAAGTATGAACTTAATGTTCAGTCAGGTTTGTAATTTCTGTTTGGCACTTTTAATATGGTGTTCAACCAATTATTATATTATTTACCCTTTGCTCTTTAAGAGTTTAAGTGCATACTATTCCTAGACTTCCTGGTCTAGAAGTTAGAAGTAATCTTTAATGTGCTGTCAGATGACAGAATTGGGCTGCTTGTCCAGAGTAAATTAAGCAACCTTTTATGCATACCTAGATTAATTTATGGTCCTCTGCAAAAGGAAGCTATCTCTGATCAGGTGTTTGATGCTATATGCTCCTTTTATAGTTGTTCATCTTTAGCTAGTAATTGAAGAGCTTGAAGAAAGGTCGAGAAGAAGGGGTTGAAATATGGAAAGAGCACATAAGTTTATTGAGAGGCAGAGAAGCGATAGGAGGAAATAGATAGGAGACTAGGAACTATATTACTTGTACTCTTTATTTCACCTCTAGTACTTGTGTCGGCTCCTCGACACTTAGACTTGGATTATTGGGTAGGATACTTTGTAACATAGGTCTTTATCTTGCTCCTAACCCGAATTCATTTAAAATGTATAGATATCTTGCTATCTGATTGGGTCTCTCACAAAATTAGGTGTTTCTAGGTTGCTATGTTATTCCAATCTTCCATGTTCACCACCAAATAGTCAGAGGGAGTACCTAGTACATATCTGCTACCCGCTTTTTCTTATACCTGTAGCTGAATGTCTTTCACTTTGTTGGCTCAGACCCTCTTAAATAATGATAAAGTGAGGGGCCTTGGAAATTTGGCCAACAATGTAAAAGCAGTCACAGAATCTTAAATTAAATTTGCCGTGTCTACATGTGTTGGAAATGCTAATATCTTCTGCTTGAGTTCATCTGCTGTAAAGATCATCCCCTGGCTGGCTTACAGGAAAAGAATAATGCTTTATTGCTTTGGGAGGAGCCTTGGACCTTCAGCTATCCTCATAAGATAATTTAGGGTTAGGATCTCTGTAGAGTATGTTGCAGAATTTATTGAGAGCAAGTACACCGCCATTTTATTGAATTATATTCTTAGACAATGAATTAAGAAGGCATTGTCACCTTGTCCTAGACTCCTAGTCATTGAGAGGTCTAGAAAAGGATATTATACATTAATTTGCAACAATTCCGTGATACCACTTTATGTACCATCACTGTGATGGAGGTTACCCTGTTAACAGCTGCAAACAAATATTTAAAAATTGGCTCACCACACCATTCTTCATGCTAAAATGGTATTCTTAAGTAACTTTTATTAAGTGTACCATAAAATTAAAACACTCTAAATTTGATAGCATCTTTCTAGACTAACACTCCTGGATCTTGATATGTTCCAACTAATTTGGATACTAATGGTGATGGTGAATGAAGGCATTAAGTAAATGGGTAGAGTGGATAGATTGGAAAGAAACTTAGATTTTAATCTTATCATCCTTTTTCTGGAACTTTTTAATAATAGGAGCTCCAGGTTGAAGTTTTAAATACATAGTAGAGTCAATCTCGCTTCTGAAAGTGAAATGTCCCACTGTTGGGACCTTATCTGTTGCCTATTAAAATCATCTACTCGGGCTTTATTATAAGGCTAACTGTTGCTTTGAAAAGAGCAATGTGAGCAGTGGAAATTTCTCTTGGGCTTTCAAAGGATTGAAATATCATATGCAAGCTCCAAACTTTGATTTGGGGGAACACAAAACCCTTGGAGGGTGAGCTCAGTTCGAGGGAAGTGAAAGGAAAAGTTATTAGAGGGGGAAGGAGGCAAAGAAAATAAACATAGAACTATATATTACAGTAAAAAATTATTCGAGGGAAGGAGGGAAAGAAAAAAAAAAAAAAACACAGAACCATATATTACAGTAAAAATTATTTGAGGGAAGGAGGCAAAAAAAAAAGAAAATAAACACTCGAAGTGAAAGGACATTATCAATTCCCTTTCCCTTCTAGAAATCCTTTAACCAAACAGCGCCTAATTAATATTGTAGGATTTTTTTTTCGGTTGTATGATTTGTCAGATTGTTGGTGTATGCTTTAGAAGATTTCTTTGCAGCTACTTCATTGATACTTCATGCTAATTAATTTGTTGCTGCTCTCTTCCACTTATCCCATGAAAATTAATGTAGTAAGTGAGATATGGTTCCTTGGTTTTAGGGGGGATTGCTTGTTTAAAGTTTCTGTGATCAGAAGAATTGTATCCTTTTGGTTTAGGGGAACTTTTTTCTTCTTCTTCTTCTTCTTATTATTAGTATTAAACATGCTACTTATTTGTATGTCCATTTGCATTATTGTTAATGATTTTTATATATTTCTCCTATTTGTTTGCCTGTAGAGCTTCCGAAGAACTCCCAATGTGATGGATTGTGAGGCAGCTGACATCTTGCAAGGAATCCAGGAGCAAATGATTTTTCTCTCTCGTGATCCAACTGTCAAACTTCCTGTGTAAGAATTCACTTTCATATATGGTCTTAGAGTTACATAGAGTGGAGAGGGGTGGGTGAGTGGCTATATTTGGCTCCTCAAATGTTGCTGTCAAGATTAGTGGATATTACATAACCTCTAACAAGTCTTTCATCAGTTCATTTGACAAGGGATTACTATATGCCAAAGCTGGAGGACGATATTCGAATCCCAAGGCTGTCAGAAAGGCTCTCGGGTATCCTTTTACAAGTCTTTCATCAGTTTATTGTATTGTAATGTAATGACTCTTAATTGTTAAGCCCTTTAACTCATCAAGCAGGACTCTCAAGAAGTATGGAGTTTCTGATGGAGAGGTTAGTCACAAACTTGGTGAATTGGTAATTGAAAATGTATTATTTCACTAAAGATAATTCCTCCTATTGCAGATATGTGTCATTGCCAATACTTGCCCTGAGAATGCTGAAGAGGCTTTTGCCTTGGTTCCTTCCCTGAAGGTATGTTGCATGCAAGTTATTTGATTGGAGATTCGCATTTGTGTTAGGGTTACTCACTTACCTTCTTCGACCCTATAGGCCAAGAAAAACAAGATCAATGAACTACTTGAAGAGGTCATATCTCAGCTGGTTACATTGAAATTGCCAACAGAAAACCATAGAGAGTAGAAAGGGGAGGTATGTTTGTTTTGCTTTCTGCAGTAGAATTTGTTCCACCATACCACCGATAATGCTCTAGCTTAGTGCTCGACTCAAACTTAGTGGAGCATTGTGACTGGTGAAACTGGGATGTCTTGTGATTACTATCTTATAAATGATTGTATCTACTTTTGCAGATGCCAAGCCCTTGCAGCATGTCGAAACTACATGATATGCATCAACTTACATCACTACCCTTACTTGGCCTTTGTTAGTTGGTTTTGTATAGGTCTTAATTTTGTAAGAACGTTTTTCAGTGTAGTCTGTTAATTGATGTCAAACTGTAACATGTAAATCCTAACTGTATGAACCTATCTACTTTTGAGTTTCAATGCTCTCCTTAACTGCTGATCTTTAGTCAATATCCATCTGTGTGCCAATTACTTGCTACTATTCTGTTACTACTCTTTGACCCTTTATTACTTCTGCGACCTTGCTCAGGGACGAGGTACCCTCAGGGCAATCGCTTAGTGTGTATACATTGCTGATAATTAATACAACCTCCGCTTTTATTTAGTTGACACCTTTTTTTTTATCACGCTTGTCAATGCGCTATTCTAAAGATTAATTTCTCTAATTCTCAACGTAAAATTATAAAAAGTAGATATTAATAAAATAGACATTGAGACAATTTAAACAAGTAATCACTTGACTATGTTTTATCGTAGCTATAAATCACAAAATCTAGTCAAGGTGTAGTTTATGAATAGTGTAAAAGTCAAATGGTGTAAACTTAAAAAAACAAAGGTAGTAGTCATTAGAATATCTTATTCAAACTTTGAAACGGCAGTAATAAAAGAAGCAAACATGACATAAGCCACTAGGCAAGTGCGGCTTTCCTCGACTGTGCCATAACTTGTAAGAGATGATATGCTTGGCTTTGTGTTTAAGACAGCGACTGAATTTTACGTCCATTATGCTGTCAGGAGCATGAATGAGTGGCGAAGATTTTATAGCATATACGAGTATCAAAATTCATTACTACTGTTAGAATTATAAACAACCAAAGGTAGGCATCACAATCCACGGATATGAGTTTACAACACATCAACTCCAGTAGTAATGTAGTCGCATGTATATCAGCATTGGCAAATGGCAACAAACACCATAACAAGCCCTATACACAGTCGAACTATCAGAAACAGATGTTGGGAAGGGAGAACAAAAAAAAAGGTTGAAACATGACAAGATTTCACCAACTATGGAGCTCTAGAAAAAAATTAACCTCTCCTTCCCCCCGCTCGGCCGCACCTCATCATTTCTGACTTGCAGGAGCTATCAAACAAGACTGCAAACAAGCTCTGAGTTTCCATGATTAGGTCAGTTTCAAATCAATAAAAGGGCAAAACTTTCTTTTCAATTTCGTTTCTTGTTAATTTTAGGTTTTGCTCATTTCACATGCTTTCAAGTATTTCTCTGTATATCATCATTCAAACACAAGGTTAAACCCTAAAACAGTTAAATTGATTCTCAAACTTTGCAATGAAAGTTGTTGGTTTGAGCAATTCCTCAATTCTGGGTAAATTAGCAAGAAATAAATGGAATGTAATTCCAATTCCACATGGAACAATTCTTGAACCAAAAGGTCAAGACCTTGATTTTGTGAATGTAGCACATAGCCATCTTATACACTCTGATTGGGAAAAATTGGAGAAATTATCAAGTGGTTTTACCCCATTTAGAATTAAGCATGTATTATTGAAGATTAAGAAGGATTATGTTCTTTCTTATGAGTTTTATAAATGGATTCAGCTCAAACACCCTAAGTTTCACAACCTTGAAACTCATTCCATGATTCTCCATGTTTTGACCAAACACCGGAAATTTAAGTCTTCTCAATCGATTATGAAGGATATACTGAGTTCGCGGCGGTCTATTTATTTGCCACGTCAGTTGTTTCAGGCTATATTGAACTCGTATCGATTGTGTGATTCGTCTCCTCTTGTGTTTGACTCGCTTTTTAAGATGCATGCCCATATGAAGAAATTTAAGAATGCTATCGCGACCTTTTGCCACATGACTTAAAAATATTGTATGACTTGCACGTGACTCAAAGCAACCCACAATTTAATATAGCGGTGTATAAGGAAATTTTTTTTAAAAAAAAAGAAACAATCATGAACCACCCCAAATACCCAAACGCAAAATCGAACCCTCTCTCTCTCCTCTTTCTTCAGCTTTCAGATCTGAAAACTTCATATTGTAAACCTAATTGTTCATCACTATCCTTTATTCTTATACAATCTAAGCTATCTTTTGAAACTGCCTGAAATTTAGCGAATTTGAGTCGAAATCGTGGTAATGTTCTTCCGCTCCTTGTTGATTTTTTCAATTGACGGTAATTTCGTTCTTTTTCTCATCAATTTCCTTACTTGTGTGCATAAATATCATTCAGATTGACTTTGTTATATTGAGTTGTTGTGAAATTACATTGAATTTTTAGTTATTGTGTAGTAGAAAGCCATTGTATTTAAATCTAGGGTTTGACTGTATGGCGTGTTGGGTGTAGGGGATTTAGTGAGCGTTTTAGGCTATATACGCTTCAATTATTTAAGGTTTTGGTCTAACTAAGAATCTCAGTTGTTGCAGAATTTCATTCGGTTTTGTTTTACTACTCAGATATGCCCTTTTCATTTTCTGGGCTGGGTGTTACGCTATGAACTCAGAAATTGTGTAAATCGGGTTTCAAATTCATGGGATTTCACCAATTAGGTAGAATATAAATACAATACCATTTTACATGATTGTTTAGATTTAGAGATATACCGTATATAATAGAACAAATGGAGTATTATAGTGGTGATTAATTGGTTTTAGATATCTGAGAAAGCAGAGAAGTTGCATACATTTCACCATTCCAGCTTTTATCACAATTTTCTTTATTTTTTATTTACTTGGACCAATCAATCATTTGATGTTGCTGAAGAAAAAAGAACGACGAGCTTTCAAAGCTTTATAAGTTTGCATTGACTTATTATAAATATTATCTGAATTCTGAACCAACTTTGATCTTATTACTTTGGTTAAAAAACACAATTATTACAAGTTATTTTCAATTTTCATCCAAATAAGTTAAGATACCAAGCTAAATATCTCAAAATTCTCATAAAAGATGTGTTAGCATTCCTGTTTTGGCAAGGTGATGAATTGCTTGGTTTTGTTGTGCAGTTGACGGTGGCTGGGAACACTTGAGCTTTATTACCTTAATGTTTAAGCTGTAGCTCGGGATTAGAAGCTCAGTAAAATAAGAAGTCAAAATGACACTGTAGGAGAAGTGGCCCCTGTGATGAAGAAGAAATTTAGTCTTAAAAAGAGAGTAAGAAGACCGCGGGATTGAATAGCCGAGCTTGCTAAGTGTGAAATAGTACTAATTATCCTCTCTAAAGAAATTCATCATCAATGAGGTCTGCTGCTCTCTTTTACACATGTTTGGTTTCTCACCTGTCTTTGTTTCCCTATTATTCTGCGTGAAAGTCTGAAATCGAGGTTTGAGCAATGAAATGAAAGTTTTAGAATCAGTCTTAAATTTGCTTGATTCTAAAACTTTGCAATGAAAGTTGTTGGTTTGAGCAATTCCTCAATTCTGGGTAAATTAGCAAGAAATAAATGGAATGTAATTCCAATTCCACATGGAACAATTCCTGAACCAAAAGGTCAAGACCTTGATTTTGTGAATGTAGCACATAGCCATCTTATACACTCTGATTGGGAAAAATTGGAGAAATTATCAAGTGGTTTTACCCCATTTAGATTTAAGCATGTATTATTGAAGATTAAGAAGGATTATGTTCTTTCTTATGAGTTTTATAAATGGGTTCAGCTCAAACACCCTAAGTTTCACAACCTTGAAACTCATTCCATGATTCTCCATGTTTTGACCAAACACCGGAAATTTAAGTCTTCTCAATCGATTATGAAGGATATATTGAGTTCGCGGCGGTCTATTTATTTGCCAAGTCAGTTGTTTCAGGCTATATTGAACTCGTATCGATTGTGTGATTCGTCTCCTCTTGTGTTTGACTCGCTTTTTAAGACGCATGCCCATATGAAGAAGTTTAGGGATGCTACCGCGACCTTTTGCCACATGAAGGATTATGGGTTTCTTCCTACAATAGAGTCTTGTAATGCTTACATGAGTTCATTGCATAGTTTGAATCAGGAAAAAATTGCATTGGCTTTTTATAAGGAGATTCAGAAAAATGGTATTTTGCCAAATGTTTATACTATGAACATGGTTATTTATGCTCATTGTAAGCTTGGTAGTTTGGAAAAGGCCTTGGAGGTGTTTCAGGATATGGCAAGTATGGGTATCTTTCCTACTGTAGCATCACATAATATACTTATTTCTGGGTATTGCAATAAGGGCTTCTTCACCTCTGCCGTGAAGCTAAAAGCCTTGATGGAAAAGAACGGATTGAAGCCGGATAGTATTACCTATAACACCCTCATCAATGGATTTTGTAAGCAAGGGAAATTGCATGACGCGAACAAGGTTTTTAGTGAGATGAAAGCAGCACGTGTGCCTCCAAATACTGTAACTTACAATACTTTAATAAATGGATATAGCCAGTGGGGTAATAGTGAGATGGGATATGAACTTTATGAAGAGATGCTGAAAGATGGGGTGAAGGTTGATATGGTGACGTATAATGCTTTGATATTGGGATTCTGCAAGGAGGGCAAGACTAAGAAAGCAGCCATTATGGTTAAAGAACTTGACAAGCAGAATTTAGCCCCAAATTCCTCAACCTATTCTGCTCTTATTTTAGGGCAGTGCACGAGAAAGAATTCTGAACGTGCATTTCAATTGTACAAGAGTATGATAAGAGATGGTTGTTATGCAACGAGTAATACATACGAGATTTTGATCTCTTCTTTCTGTCAGAATCGTGATTTTGATGGAGCAGTTCAGGTTCTGAGGGAAATGCTAGGGAGAAGTATGGTTCCTGGTCCTGAAATTCTCTCTGAGTTGTGCAATGGGCTTTGCCAAAATGGAAATGAAGATTTGGCTGTAAGCTTGCGCAATGAGGTTGAAGCTAGATGTCGTAGCTGAGGCTGAGGGGTTCTGGAGTTACCTCAAGGTTTTATTTGAAGTCTGAAACAAATGGCTTTACAGCCTTCACTTGATGAGTTCCACTTTTGAGGTTTGCCACAACATGAATACAAATACCTCTCTTCTGTTACCTTTGCTCTTATATTTTTTTCTGTTTTTTTTTTGTTTTTTTTAAATTATTATTTTTTTAATTACTTTGATATAGAAGGTGAAATTTAATAATCCATCTAAAATTCTGCAAGATAATGAAACACTTCTGCAGTTCTGCTTTGTGATGTAGGCTGTTTGGGATAAATGCTTCTGCCGTTTGCCTGCTTTAATGTAACCTGCAGTCAGGCATTATATATGATATCTGTGAATAAATTAAACATACTCACCCATGACATTGGGATAGTTTGGTGTGACAGGAGACGGATGTTGAGAAACTGCAGCAAAGGGATTATTCAAATCTTAAGGTGGGTCGAATGGTGTAAGTTAGATTACACAAATTCTGTTTTCTTGTTGATTTAATGTGCTTTGAATTGTGAACTATATTTGTTCTCTACAAGATTTAAAATGAAAACTAAAATTGGCGGGATGCTAGTCTTTTGCGCTTTTTTGTTGACATGCGAGGTGCTGATGTTGATGACCGCCAGGTAATTTTAAAGCTTGATTATTTTTGTTTCTTAATTTCTCAATTTTTAAAATTTGAATCAATCCAAGGCCGATGCATTTATGCAACCCAAGTTCATTTAGGTGGTTCATATTTCAAACTGGCATGTGACATGTATGTCTGTGCACTGAATGAGCTTTTTTTATTTTTTTTTAATTGCTGATAGCTTAGATTCAATATCATCATCTGTTATTCTTAGGATCCTACAAATATTTAGTTTTGGAAAGTAGGTTTGAGGAATCCTTCAGCATATGTTTGCTTTATCTGTTTGACAGCTTAGGGATGACCTGATGACAATGCTAATCGCTGGACATGAAACTACAGCTGCTGTTCTTACTTGGTCTATTTTCCTTCTTTCTCAGGTATGATTGACCTATATAATCTTCCATAGGCAAAAAATATTTGACACTGGATCCTAGTCTTGTTTTTGTCCCTTTTCTTTGCCATTGGTGCTGGGCTTAATTTTGCTTTTGGTGCAGAATCCTTCCAAAATGAAGAAGGCTCAAGCTGAAATAGATGCAGTATTAGGCAAGGGAAGAGTAACCTTTGACTCACTTAAAAAAATTGGAGTATGTACCAAGTCACCCTCTTATACGCTTATGTCAATGATATTGCTATGGGATAAATAAGTGTTGAAGAAAAATAGGTTTCAATTGTGACATTAAAGTTGTCCCACTTTTACTCCCTTCGTCAAGGGTTACGTAACTTACATATATTACTTAGATGTCTCACAAAGTACCTGCCCAAATTATCTCAGTACCTTTCACTCTCTATCTCTACTCCATTTCTCAATGAAACTTAACTAGTAAAATATATTAAGGGACCTGATGAATTTAAACTTAACCTAAAGATATTAACAATATATGCATAAAAACTTTCCGTGTAGGTATATAATCTTCATAGATCTCCATACTTCTGGGATAAACCTGATGAATTTGAACCAGAGAGATTTTTAGTGCAGAGAAAAAGTGAAGATATAGAAGGATGGAATGGCTTTGATCCATCTCGGAGTCCTGGAGCTCTGTATCCTAATGAGGTTACTTGGTGTTGCTGGATCGTCAAATCCATTCATTTTTCTCTAGAGCATCACTAATTAATCGTTTGCACTTGCAAATATCAGATTGTAGCAGATTTTGCGTTCTTGCCTTTTGGTGGTGGACCGAGAAAGTGTGTGGGAGACCAGTTTGCTCTAATGGAATCTACAATCTAATCAAAGCTCTTGCTCTAATGGAATTCGTTGCCAAACATAGCCTCTATGATGGACATAATCTGTGTATTTCACATAGCAAGTGTTCTGCCTCCATGTCCATGTTATTCTACTTACAAGTTACAAACGCTGCAATGTCACATTTGAAGAGCCTTCATGATCTTCATCGGTTCGTTTGCTGTCAATAAATTCTGAACACAGTTAATCACTAGCTACTTGCCATCAGTACTTAGGCCTCGATTTGAAGAGGGGTTTATCTAAATTCTTTTTTTGCCGGTGAACATTGTTGCCCTCCTACAAGCTAATTAAGACCAGTTCATCTCACAAGTTGTCTGTCTATAGTGTTCATTACCCCGAAGCAAATACAAAGGCCAGCCTGTTCGTCTTTTTGAAGTACCATAGTGCTACAAGCAGAATGCTATTTAAGACCTACTTGATGCCCTCTTTGTGTCCATCTTTGACCAATTGAATTAGAACTTCCAGCACTTACTGGGAACTATTCCAAGGCACGATCATCTCTCTCAAAAGCCCGAGGAATGAAGATGTTCACTAATACCCTAAGGGAATTTGAACATGTGACCTATTGTAACATGCTCTCAATGTTAACCTCTAAGCCTAGACTTCATTGGTAAATACCTGGATGAGATATAACGTAATCAAGCCTTCGCTTCTAATGTGTGAATACTTGCTTGGTAATTTCATTACAAGTTAGATTCATATCTTTCTATTTATAAAATCCTTCTCTTTGCTTCATAAATTCACAAATATTCTCACAAACTCACAACAAAGAAAAGGAAAGCCAAAGAAAATTGAGAAAATTGGGGGGACGTTTTTCCAAAGTGAGCCAATTTTGGCAAATATTAACCAAAATATTAACCAAAATGGTTGAAATAACGAAATGTATCCTGTTTCTCAAGGACTAAAGGTTTCGATGTTGTTTGCTTAGTTTTAGAATACAATTTCTTCGTACATGTATAAAAAAAGTCAACTTCCTTGTTTGTAATCTGTTGACCAGGAAATAAAGAACATGTTTTCAATATCTATCCTCTACAATCTGCTCACAAATTGCGTATGCTGAAAGTTGTTCATTCTTATCACTGTGTCGTAAAATATATAGGCCCCAATTTGGACGTTTTTCCAAAGTGAGCCAATTTTGGCAAATATTAACCAAAATGGTTGCGTGGCAAAAGTATTTACCAAACTAAGCTTTCAGGCTAAAAACGTTGTCTGGGACAGCGTCTTTGTTGTTGACCTTTTTTTTAAAATTTTTGTAATTGCCTTTTATTTATAAAAATGTTTTAAAAAAAAAAACAGTTATACCAAAGCGCTGTCCCAGACAGCGCTTTAGGTACAAACTTCCTTGTACCTAAAACGCTGTCTCAGATAGCGTCTTATTTTCAACCTAAAACGCTGTCTGGGACAGCGTTTCTCTGCTGGTGTGCAAAACAGCAGCAGAATCAGCCTTTTGCCACTGATCTGCCACTTTCTTCTGCTCCAGACAGCGTTTTTAGGTTGATTTTTTTTTTAAAAAAAAACCCAGGCATAAAACGCTGACCGAGACATCGTTTTAGCCTGGAAGCTTAGTTTGGTAAATACTTTTGCCACGCAACCATTTTGGTTAATATTTGCCAAAATTGGCTCACTTTGGAAAAACATCCAAATTGGGGCCTATATATTTTACAACACAGTGATAAGAATGAACAACTTTCAGCATACGCAATTTGTGAGCAGATTGTAGAGGATAGATATTGAAAACATGTTCTTTATTTCCTGGTCAACAGATTACAAACAAGGAAGTTGACTTTTTTTATACATGTACGAAGAAATTGTATTCTAAAACTAAGCAAACAACATCGAAACCTTTAGTCCTTGAGAAACAGGATACATTTCGTTATTTCAACCTGAGAAGAAAAGAATTTATAGGGCAAAAGTACAATATCAACAATGATGTTTACAGCTTTAGGTAATCTGACTATTATCTGAATGTATATGTTTGTTTTCTAGTAAATCTATAATTGTAATGTTGCATTCTTGTTTCAGCTAAAACATGAACTGCATGCCATAGAACAAGAAAGTAGAGATGCAGCAAAATGGATTTACAGCTTCATAACTTGGATCGTGATTTTTCAACAAGCTCTCGTCTGAGAAGCTTTCCTGAAGCTGACTTTGGGATGGCGCTTAAAAATGTTACCTTTCTTAATCTCTTGTAAGGTGCAACCTGTAGAAAAAGAGAGTAACTGACAAAGATATCCATAAGATTGTATTCAAGTTGTTTCTAACAATCCTAGACAGACCACACCCTCTTTGAAAAGGAATTATGTACAAAGATTTGAGAAAAAACAATTGTTCATATTGTCATCTACCTGATCCGCGACAAACTTCTTGACATCTTCTTCCTGTATGGAACTATTGGGTGATCGAACCACATACGCAATAGGAACTTCACCAGCTTCATCATCGGGAAATCTAATAATTATGAAAGCATAGATTGTCAATAAAGTTAAACAGGTGACCTAAAGCCTAAGCTCTAAAAAGGATGTAAGAGGGACAGGGTGCTTTGTTATATAAAACTTACGGGATGACAGCAGCATCTAGTACTTCAGGATGTGAAAGAAGAACTGCTTCAAGTTCTGCTGGTGCAACCTAATTGTAATAAACAAAGGAAACATACTATATGTCAATTATGTTAAGTATAATTTGAAGCTTTCATTGGGCCAAACATATCTTTCAGAAAACAACCTCGTGTAAATATGAGCAATAACTAAATCTGCTTTTTATTTTTTTTATTTTTTATTTTTTTTCTAATTGATGTTTAGTCTTGTGTTAGCCCCTCTGGGCTCTCTAAGGGTATGAGGTATTTGTTTCAAATTGTTTTAATACTGCAGGAATCAGAAGATCTCTCCAGAATGTGGTCTCCAAAGGAGAAACACTTCTTGAAACAAAGATCAAACAGATTAAATCTACATACAAATAGAAAAGAGCTTTGAGCTCTTGACACATAATCATGATTTGAAGGGTTGCAACAGAATGCTTCATGACTAATGTATTTTAAGAGCCAAGAACAACTGCATGATTTGTATAAATTATTATTCGCCTGATAGAAGATAAAGTATCTACTTTGCATCAGTACGCCTTCTTCATATGGACACTGTTTACTAAGTTAACAGGGCTGTCCACAGAAGAGATGACAAAATATAAGATTGCAAGGTATTTACTTCTGATATATACTGAAGCGTTCTACAAATTTTTAGGTGTTTTTGCATGGATGATCATAAACAAAACAAGGGAATTGCGGAACTATAAGGCTTCAGGTCAAAATTCCCATTGTCATTAGCGCTCAGAAACATTAGTGATGTGTGTCTTTCAATAATAATTTAATATTTATAAAACGAGGGAAATGCAGTAGGTAATTAATTACACCAAAGACTGTTAAAGTGTCCGTTTTGTCCAATTGTCCAGGCAAAAGACAAGAATGCGTATGCGATAACTATTACAATAATGCATTCTGGAAATACATATTCTGTATTTTTAGTTATCCTCTCATCTTCTAGGGAAACAAACACAGAAATAAGATATGAATGCAACAAAAAATATGCAAATATTTCAGTGAGGATCATAAAAAATCAATACCTGAAAACCCTTGTATTTGATGAGCTCTTTCAGTCTGTCAACCACATAAAGTTGCCCTTCCTCATCGAAATACCCAAGATCTCCTGTATGTACCCAGCCTTGATTATCAATAGTTGACTTGGTGGCTTGTGGATTATTTAAGTAACCTGCACATTGAAATTATACCAAATACTTTATTTAGTTGGTCACCTATAGCCAAAAGGGTAATTTATTCAATCGGAAGAAGTAACTGAGACCAGAGATGTTTTTATTGCATCATTATTGATGCATTTGCAACCAGGTGAAAAATAAATAAAAAAAATAAAATTGTAAAAGTATACTTTGTCCACCACTGCACTTTTCTTTTGAAAAAGATTGGTTTTAAAAATCCAGCACAGTGTGATGTTTAAGCAATTAAAGATGCATGTAAAGCTTTTCAAGCAGAAGGTAGACTAAGAATATGCTTTTTTCTTTTGGAAAAATGCTGGTTCAAAAAGATTAGATTGCTTTGTTATCAAAGTAATAGATTCCAGAATTAAAGACACAAACCTCTGCGGACCTACCATTTCAAGTTTTCAGATCATAGACATGATAGTTACTTTCCTAAGATTAAACAAAAAGATCAGGAGTAAAATGCTTATTTACTGATGCTTTGAAATAAAAGAATCTTCGTCCACTCAATGGAATACTACGAGGACAAAGTACACAAAAGTTTGCCTTTTTCAAAACGGAAAACATTTACCATATGCAGCATAGAACTAATAATCACCTTTCATCATATTAGGCCCACGGACCCATATTTCACCCAGTTGCTTTGGAGGAAGAGACTTCAATGTATCTACATCAATTATCTGAGCTTCAACACTTGCAGCTAACATTCCAGTTGAACCAGAATTTCGACCACCTAGTCTTGGGTGTTCTACAGAGATAATTCCACATGTTTCTGTCATACCATACCCCTGAAAGTATAATGAAACTCTATATCAGAGACGTCGCTCTACCAATTGTATTAAGTAGAAATAACTATGATCTCCAAAAATACCAGCTGACACTTACCACGACACAATAAGAAAGTACATCGATATAGTATTATTGGGGAATTCCATTAATAGGTAACAAGCTGAAATGAATACTCCAGTAGTCCAGTTCCAAATTTCAAGTCTTTAAATAATAGCCATAATATTTCTCCATCAGATATGAACTTCGTTTATGAAAAGGGAAACATAATATGCTAACTGCAGAAAATTATCCCGGGTTTTTTTTGGAATACTACACAAGAAATCGATAAAAATCCGATATACACAGAAACTGTTTCCTAAAAAACCAGAGTCAAAACAACTTTGTGAAATCATAGATTCTGAGTTGTTAATATTGTTAAAAGAAAAAATAAACAAGTTGACAATGGAATAAAATAATAAGGGTCGTTAAACAAATTGTAGTTCTGTTTCAGTTGAGTATTTAAAGGTAATACCCTCCCTATTCACACCTCTACTCAGGCCATTAAAATATATGTGCAGGCAATTTAGAACTGTTCCATGTTTAGCATGTGACATAAAATATCATAATGAATTTCATAAAGAATATCAAAGGGAGATTAGTTTCAAAGAAATTATACCTGCATTATCGCAGCCTGAGGCACAACTTTAGAGCACTCCTGCATCATCTCCTTCCCCAAAGGCGCGGCCCCGGAACCAATCTGCTTCAAAGATGACAGATCATATTTCTTAACAGCATTATGCTTAGCCAATGCAAGCACAATTGGTGGAACAATCCACAATTTAGTAACCCTATACTTCTCAATAGCTTTCAACATCAACTCGAAATCGAATTTGGCCATACTAACAACAGCATTACCCATCTGCAACTGACCATACAAAACCACAGACAGTCCAAACACATGAAACATTGGGATCACACACAAGAACACTTCATCGAATTCGCCCTCGAATTTTTGATCACTTGATACCATCAATGAGGCAGCAATGAAATTTCCATGAGTTAGTATCACACCTTTACTAACACCAGTAGTACCAGATGAATACAAGAGTGCAGCAGTGTCACTTTGTTTGATCACAACCTTTGGAAAATCCACAGCAGACCCATTAACC